AGCACCACCCGGGAAGCCCAGGCTTTGTTACTGAGGGGCATCTGGCCTGGTTCCTTCCACTCTTGGGCCAATGGTTCTCCCAGGTAGCTTGAGGATATAATCACCTGGCATCTTTATCCCTGATGACTTGCATGTTAGAATTCCCCACATCTCTCTGTCTCCCTCTCTCTCTTCTAAATTTAAAACAATTAAACTCTTTCTCCTTAGCATCACCCTTGTGGGGTCAATTTGGGAGACCTTTTGAAAGACAGCATATAGTTGGCTTTCCAATCATTGTTTTAGATATGCAATGGGGACAAGAAACTAAAGGGAGACCAATTTGGTCCCACTTGGAATAGATGTGATGACATAAAAGAGCACAGAGATGATGAACCAAATGGTTCTGGGTCCACTCTGTCATCTTGCTGCCTGCTATGGGTGCCAGCCTCTGTCCTCGGCAAGCACGATAAATTATGAGTGGACCAGTTTCTAGAGCAACATCTGAATGTGTGCATGTCATCATGGTCACTGGGGCAGCAGGCCCATCTCTGTCTCCATGGAAATAAAGACTGAGTCATCAAGAAAGGTAGGGATATGGGGAGAGCAAAGATGCTAGAGTCAGTGGGCTTGAGTTTGAATCCACAATTCTGCAACTTACTAGCTATGTAACCATGACTATGCCCTGGAATGATATAACCTTTCCCTCTTTGTGCCTCATTTCCCTTGTATATAAAAAGGGAATATTTTAAGTCTTCCTGTCTCATGGGACAATCCTGAGGATTAAATTGGATAACGCACATAAAGGGCTTATTACATGCCTGATGCATTGTTGTGGTTTGTTGTTTAGTCGCTCAGTCATGTCCGACTCTCTGTGAACCCATGGACTACAGCCCTCCAGGTTCCTCTGTCCATGGGATTTTTCCAGGCAAGAATACTAGAGTGGCTTACCATCTCCTTCTCCAGGGGATCTTCCTGATCCCAGGATCGAAACCTCATCTCTTGCAACTCTCCTGCATTACAGGCAGATTCTTTACCTCTGAGCCACCAGGGAAGCTCTCCTGGTGCATAAACCATCAGTAAATGTTCACTGCCATGGCAAGAATCACTCTTACCACCACTACTAAAATTACAGGTGATTTACATAGAGTTTAGGGCCAGAGTGCAAAAGTTCAATTCCAATTGCATCTCTTACTGAGGAATCTTGGCCAAGTTACTTAAGCTCCCCAAGACTTAGTGTGCTTAGTCATAAAATAGGAATAGTAATGGTACGTGCCTCACAGAGGCAGAATTGAAGTTCAAAAATCATATTGCTGGGCTCTCAAATGTGCCTAGCACTTTCTTTTCATGGCATGACTTCTGAAGGGTTTTGATAAGCCCTCATCTCTCCAGGATCTCCACAAAGAAAAAAAAAAATTTCCACAGCACCTGGAATTCTGGGGTTAGAAGAGTGCTCCTTCAGATTAAAGGCACTGAAGCCTGTTAAAGGTAAACGCCCCGAAGTGGCCAGGAGGAGTACTACCCCAGCATCAGTTCTATAGTTTGGTTGCTTTAGCAAATACTTTCCAAGGTGACAATTTTATTTCTTTTAAAGATTTTTTTTTAATGTGGACCATTTTTAATGTCTTTATTGAATTTGGGCTTCCCTGGTGGTTCAGAGGTAAAGAATCTGCCTCCCAATGCAGGAGATGCAGGTTCGATCCATGGGTCAGGAAGAACCCCTGGAGAAGGAAATGGAAACTCACTCCAGTATTCTTGCCAGGAGAATTCTAAGGACAGAGGAGCCTGGCAGGTCCATGGGATCGCAAAAAGTTGGACATGACTTGGCAACTAAACAACATATTGAATATTACAATAGTATTTCTGGGTTGTTTTTTTAAATGTTCTTTTGGCCTCGAGTCATGTGTGATCTTAGTTCTCCAACCAGGGGTCAAACCCCTACCCTCTGCACTGGAAAGTGAAGTCTTAACTGCTGGACCAGCCAGGGAAGTCTCCAGGGTGACAATTTTAGGGAGGATGAGTGAAAGTAAGAGCACTAGACAGAACAGCTGCAGAGAGATGTGAAGGACACCTGGAAAGCCTGGAAGAGGGAGAAAGGCCTTGGATGTGCTGATCAGTGCTTCCTACAAACATAGCGACCTTCTCAATTCCCTCAAGGATTCAGGTCAGGCAGCCCACCAGACCCAGGACCCAGGATAGACCCTGGGATCCAGATCATCCTCTCGGTCTTGAGCTCAGCATCTCTACCACACAGCAAGGCCAACCTCAAGATTCACCAGCGCTTTCTTCTGATTTGGGAAATACTCAGGTTTTCTGATCCAGAGAAGGCAATGGCAACCCACTCCAGTACCCTTGCCTGGCAAATCCCATGGATGGAGGAGCCTTGTAAGCTGCAGTCCATGGGGTCGCTAAGAGTCATCGACATGACTGAGCGACTTCACTTTCACTTTTCACCTTCATGCATTGGAGAAGGAAATGGCAACCCACTCCAATGTTCTTGTCTGGAGAATCCCAGGGACAGGGGAGCCTGGTGGGCTGCCATCTATGGGGTCGCACAGAGTTGGACACGACTGAAGCAACTTAGCAGCAGCAGCAGGTTTTCTGAAGCAATGTTGAGGCCACATGAAGCTCATCATGGAGTAGATGGTTTCACAACTCGCCATGGCCACACCCTCTCATCTTTTCCAAATACTATTTTAATGATGAGCCAATTCCCCCTCTTCAGATGTGGAGAAACTGGAGAAACCAAGAATTTCCTGAGACCACAAAGCACAGAGAGATGCAACGACTGTCTTAAAATAATGGGATGAGCTTAAACCAAAAGAAATCTTCAACCTATTAGCCAAACTAGTAATTCGTCTAAGGAGAGCGTTCCCCAAGGAAATTTGGGCCACTCTCTTTCTGAAGTATGTTTTAAAATTCAACCAGACTAAACAATGGAGACCACAGGGAACAACTCTCCCCTTGCCAGGTAGAAGGGGCTGAGGGCCGGAATGGTATTTTCCAGCTCTCATTTCTGTGATAAGTGACCCTACGTACCTGGGCTTGCTGGGCTGGGAGCAGAGACAGACAGGGCTGGTTGTTCACACCAACTTTTGATTTTAATATGAGCCAATTTAATCAGTTGCTCAGTACAGCCCTCCTTTCAAGTCTCTGGAAGCATCTCAAGGGAGAAAATGACACTAAGAAACACAGAAATCCTTTCTCTTCTCAGCAGGCGTTTGTCACAGTGCCAGTTCCTAACTGCACAAACGTTTGGCTGACCAAGTCACTTTGATATACTTTTCCCAGGGTTCAAAAAGAAAAGATAAACAAAGAACTTGTGACTTCGGGGGGAGCAAAGGTAGCCAGGAGTTTATGAGTTTGCTCATCTTCTTTGCATTTCTGGCAAAGAGGAAGGGAGTGTCAGTGCAGAGAAGTCACCTTGTTAGTGGTTTCTGCTACGGCAGGGCTGGGGCCTGGGGGAGTTTCTGGGTGGGTTCATGGGGGTTTGCTGCCACTTTCTACAGGTAAATCAGAGCAGCTTCTATCAGCCACAGTTGTGTTGGGTTGGCTCACCCACCTTTTGTTTTTCTTTTATTATTTTATTTAATTCTTATTGGAGTATAGTTGTTTTATAACGTTGTGTTCATTTCTACTGTACAGCAGAGTGAATCAGCTATATGTGTACATACATCCCCTGCATTTTGGATCTCCTTTCCATTTAGGTCACAGAGCATCCAGGAGAGTTCCCTGCACTATACAGCAGGTTCTCATTAGTATCTACTTTATACATAGTGTCAATAGTGTATATATGTCAGTCCCAATCTACCAATTCCTTCCACCCTCCTTTCCCCCCTTGAAAATGAAACTGTTAGTCTCTCAGTCCAGCCAACTGTTTGAGACCCCATGGACTGTAGCCTTCCAGGCTCCTCTGTCCATGAAATTCTTCAGTCTAGAGTACTAGGGTGGATAGCCATTCCCTTATCCAGGGGATTTTCCAGGTATCGAACCCAGGTCTCCTGCATTGCAGGACGATTCTTTACCATCTGAGCCACCAGGGAAGCCCTTGGTACCCATACATTTGACGCTATGTCTGTGTTTCTATTTCTTCTTTGCAAATAGGATCATCTATAGCATTTTTCTGGAGAAGGCAATGGCAACCCACTCCAGTACTCTTGCCTGGAAAATCCCATGGATGGAGGAGCCTGGTAGGCTGCGGTCCATGGGGTCGCTAAGAGTCGGACACAACTGACTGACTTCACTTTCACTTTTCACTTTCACGCATTGGAGAAGGACATGGCAACCCACTCCAGTGTTCTTACCTGGAGAATCCCAGGGATGGGGGAGCCTGGTGGGCTGCCATCTATGGGGTCACACAGAGTTGGACACGACTGAAGTGACTTAGCAGCAGCAGGACACCATTTTTCTAGATTCCACATATGTGCATGAATATACAGTATTTGTTTTTCCCTTTCTTATTTACTTCACTCTTTTTCTTGACCATGCCACATGGCATATAGGACCTTGGTTCCCCGATCAGAGATGGAACCCCAGGCCCCTGCAGTGGAAGCAGGAAGTCTTAACCACTATATTGCCAGGCAATTCCCCGGTTGGCCCTTTTTATAAAAGCAAGGACAAGCATTCTTCATTTCAAACTGATTGTTAAAAGGTATATGGATTTTCTCTAATAATATTCCTTCAGGGGAATTAAACAGGCATGATAAAAATAGTATTTTCTTTAGACTTTATGGGAACAAATAGGATATGTGTAATTAAAACTTTTTATTATCTAGGCCCTAACAACTTTGAGAGTGATTTATTTCTTCTAGGATAAGAATGCTTAGAATCACATTAAGATCCAAAATGTTAAGGAAACAATGGCATGTTGACAAGGAAGTGTTTCAATATCAGCCATATTTCTGTGATATGCTTTCATTCTTCTGTAGCTCTCAGACACATTTCCTGAGCCATCAGTCTTATATCACTCTGCTAAATAAGACAGACTTTAAACAAACACAGTGACTACCTTTTGATACTGTATTCCTCTGGATATTTGCCAAGAATTTGAGATGTAAGAAATAAAAACTCATCTTCAATTTTTCATAGAATTGGACTGGGGCCAAGAAAACCTTCCACAAATCAAGTCTTCTCTGATGATGTGCCGATGATGTCATAATTGGAGGTGAGATTAAGAAACCTCATAGGATCTCAGCGGCTATACTCGCTAATTCCTTAGTCAATCGAATTACTTCCTTCCCACTCTCTGCAAGTTTATGAAAAATCAGAACACTGCCAGCCTGGCCTCGGAGGAGTATGGTAACGTACATCATTACTGATGGAGGGAGGAAGAAAGGGAGGCGGGATTGCCCCAAGATTCTAGTCTCTCACTGCAGGTGAGCAAGGTCAGTGAGCACACTGACTGCCCCTGACTGGTGCTGCATGATAGCATCTTGGAAAAGTGCCCTGTAGCCCTTGTTTTTTCCCACTTTGCAAGGTGCAGTGCTTAGGTTTTTCTGTTTCTACTGACTGAGGGTGACTGGCTGTCAGATGTTGACATGAGCCAAATACCTATGAGACCGATTCAAAACATCAATAAATTAATTCACAGTGACAAGTATAACCCCCAAAGGCTCCAAGAGGCTCTTGAGTGTGATCAGACCATTCTTTCCTCTAGAGGAAAAGTCACGTGGGAATCTAAATTACATTTAAAAGGCAGTTGGGTGATGCTCACAAGAAGTACCACCAAGGGATGATAAACTGTGCTGCCCAACTCCACTTCCAGGAATAATTCTCAAAGAGGACAGGAGGATGGTCTTCAAGCCAGTGCTGACACTGCTAAATTAACCTCCTGATCTTTTCTCATATATGGGTAAATGACCACCATCCCAAAGGATATGGTGATTATCCCAAAGGATATGGTGATTATCTATTTAAATATGTTATCTACATGTATTAAATAGATTTCAACATTTTTTCCTGGGAAAAAAATATAACAAAACACCCTGATAACTTTGACAGTACCAGGCAAAAGGTCCAGACCCCTTGACTGAATTTGGGAAACATTCTTAATCTCCAGTATGACCATTTGGAAACTAAATAGCTTCATGGGCAACAAACAAATTAGACTCCAGCCAGAGGGCTTGCTTCTGCAAGTTGAGCAGAAGACCAACCAAGTCGTAAAGTTCCCTTTTCTTGCATTCACCTCCAGGAGTGACATTTTCGGACCTCGGTTCTGTATTTCGGACTGCATTCTGCTGTGCCTGCCTGCTGTGTGCCATGTTCCCATGTGGCTGCAGAGTGTCTTGTCCCTGTTGCTTGGCTGCTAATATGGGAGCATAATTTTGGTTCAGTAGTAAAATGAAGGGAATGCTGGAGATTTTCCATATCTAGCAAGGTAAGAGAAGTGTTATAGCCCAGCATCTACTTAAGGAATTGTATTACAGGGGAAGTTAGGGCTTCCCCAGTGATTCAGTGGTAAAGAATCCACCTGCCAATGTAGAAGACACAGGTTCAGTCTCTGGGTTGGGATGATTCACTGGAGAATGAAATGGCAACCCGCTCTAGTATTCTTGCCTGGGAAATCCCTTGGACAGAGAAGCCTGGTGGGCTACAGTCCATGGGGTCACAAAAGAGTCAAACACAGTTTAGCAATTAAACAGTGACGACAACAACAACATTAAAGAAGTTAAAACCATTAGCCAATATATTAAGCATTATAAGATTCTCATTTAAGGAATAATTCCTGAAAGTCATGTGCATGATTGTGGAAATTTTCTCAACTCCCCACTCTCTTTTCCAGTATCTGAAAGATACTAGAAAATACTAACAAATAAGAAATCCTTTTTCTTGAGTGAATAAATGTATTTCATGGGCAATTTTTTTCTTTTCAATAATAATGACTGCAACAATATTTATTAAGCACTTAGTGCCTTACCCTAGATATCATACAAAGAACTAAAATAAATCTTCACAACTATTTAATAAGTTAAGTCTGATTAATAGCTCTAGCAGGCATTAGGGTGAGAAAATTGGGCAAGTTGCTTAATGTCTGTATGCCTCAAGTTCATATAGTTTGTAAGTATCAGAGCTATTGCCTAAGCCCAGGGAAACTGACCATAAAACCTGCCTTCTTAACTACTAAGCAATGTGCCTCCTCAAAGTTTCAAACTATAAATACTTGTGTAGTTTGGCCTAACCCATTATATCCATTAGTATTGAGACTATAAACTTGATTACTATGCTGAAGCTGCTTCTTGTTCCCTTTTCCTTCATGAAAAATAGGCAAATATAAAATTAGAACAACCTCCTGTTCTATTTCTCAGTGAATGACTTTATTATCATCTCAGCCAATTTGAAATCCCCATTTCAAAAAAATCTCCACCACCCACATTACCTTCATTGTTAATATTTATAACATGTGGTGAAAGGGTTTAGAACTCAACTTAATTGTTCCAACAAAAATTTTAAATCTTCCAAATTGGCTGAGGGGTCCGACTTCTAAAAGGTTTACTCCTCAAGTGTAGGCCTCTTGCCAATGCATCTGACAAAATGAGTCTCAAAATTTGAAAGTTATCAGAGCATCTTTTGGCAGGTTAAAGAGAGTTCCAAGTGTCCCATGGACTGCTAGAACTGTATCTCCAAAAAATATAATTCCTTCACATTTGTATATAAGAATTTAACCAGATGTTCATTAGGAGGAAAAACAGCCAAGTTAACTAAGCAGGGACCTATTCATATTCTACTGTGAAAACTACCAAGTCTAACATAACTCAAAGGAACCCAGCTTACTTTTCAAAATATTTAACAATTCCCCAACATTGGTATCTAACTTTCTGAAGATGGAGCCCCCCCAAACCTTATTTTTTGGTTAAAATGTTATCAAAGGAGTCCATTTCCCCAGTTCTTTCTGATGTTTCCATTTTTCTAAGATGCTTCATGACACTGGAAATGCATCAGTGTCAAAGGGGATTAATCATAGTCCAATCACCATATCACTGTTAAAGTAGCCTAATCGTGGAATCCTTTTCTGATCCTATTTCTCCTAGGATCTCAAAGGAGAACATCAAAGAGGGTTCTGTTTCAGGCATAAAGGTCCCCCCCCTCATTTTCTCATTAATCTCTTGATGCCTAGATACCCAGGAAGCATGGACTTTCTCCTTCCCTCCAATTTTCCAAACCCACATATAAGAGAACTGAGCTGTTCATAACGTATTCTCAGAAGGCCATTCCCTCTTACATCCTCTTGCTCTATATTTATTTATTTCCTCTTGTTCTCCCATTTCCTCATCTCATTATGTTTGTATATAGCCTCATATTTTCAATCAATGATCCTATACTTCAGATACCTTCCATCTGTTTTGACTTTAGTCCTTTAGAACAGATAAAAAGATAAATATTTCCCAGAAATAATCCCAAAATATTAGTGTAAAAAGTGTGATACTGAACATGTATTGAATTAGCACATTAGAGATTAAAATCTGTTCTCAGCTGGATTTTCAGTCTTTGTTTCTTAAATATTTCCTATTTGTTAGACTGGGATGTTGTTAAAGTTGTCGCTGACATCTAAAGAGAAAAAGCTCTCATCTTCTACTCATTTAGAGGATTGGAAAGCTAGTCAAATCCTTTAGTTCAAGGGTCCTCAACCTCTGGGATCTAGTGTTTGATGATTTGAGGTGGAACTGATGTAATAATACAAACAAGGTACATAATAAATGTAATGCACTGAATCATCTCAAAACCACAGTCCGTGGAAAAATTGTCTTCTGCAAAATCAGTCCCTGGTGCCAAAAAGGTTGGGGACTGCTACTTTAGCTCACATAAATAAAGCATGAGTTTCTGTTGAGAAAAACCTGATTAGATGGCTCAGTTGGTAAAGAATTCCCCTGCAATGCAGGAGATGTGGGTTCGATCTCTGGGTTGGGAAGATCCCCTGGAGAAGGAAATGGCTACCCACTCCAGTATTCCTGCCTGGAGAATCCCTTGGACAGAGGAGCCTGGTGGGCTACAGACCATGGGGTCTTAAGAGTTGGACATGAGTTAGCGACTAAACAACCCCCAACAACAACTGGACCCCATTTAATCTATTTGTCAGTCTCTTTGTAAGCTAAATGTTTCAACTTTAGCAACATTGATTCAGGGCTAAGTTAGAATATCTCAGTCCTCCCCACTAAAAAATAATAAAGAATTTAAGCAGTATGACTTATCTCTTTAGTTCAATTGATCAAACATTTTTAAAGTATAAAGACATAGGGACTTACATCACTAGTTAATGAAGTATTTCCTCAAGTTCCAGAGGCAGCAGTAGCTGCAATAGTAAGAGATGGCAGCTTGGTTCAGATCCCCAGGCCTTCACCTTTGGGTCCATGGTCACCTTCACAACAGTGAAGCAGTGCTGTTTTAGAGACTCCAGTGAAGGCCAGGCTGCCACTTTTTATGTCAGGAGGGAAAAGAAACATTATCTCAGAGCAGAGATGTCATCAGAGTGAGAATTTAAAATACAGCCAATTTTGTTCACAGAAACCAGTCCTGACCAAAAGGACTGGTTCACAGATTAGATGTTTTAGATATCCCTTAGACAAATCACGTGGGAAGAGCATGACAGAAATGGAGTTACCACAAAGCAGATGAAGGTACAGCCAGAAATACTACATTGAAGTTTGTAATTGTGATACAATATTTTTACCTTCACACTAATACTGTCTCAGTTATCTGTTGCTACATAACAAACTATCCCAATACTTAGTGGCTGGTTTGTTCTTTCTTGTGAGTTGTTGTTCTTTCTTTCTGTGAGTTGACTGGGCTTGGATGGGCTGTACTTCTGCTCCACGGGATGTTGACTGAGGCTCGATGGGGCTGGAACGCCCAAGACAGTTCACTCTCCAAGCTGACAGTTGATGTTGGTTCTTAGCCATGAGCTTAGCTAAGAATGCTGAACAAAATGCTTGAATGCAGACTCACGTGATTTGGGCCACCTGTTAATATGGCAGGTGGGTCTCTAAAGGAGGTAACCTCAGAGCTAATGTGGTAAGAAAGAAGCAAAGACATAGAGAGAGAATGACAGGACATCACTCCTGACATACCTTGTTGAGTAAAGCAGTCATAGGCCCAGCCCAAGTTCAAGGGGATGGAGAAATAGGCACCCTTTCTGAATTTGTGGCCATGTTCCCTGTGTATAACCTCTGCCTTTTGATTTCAAGAAAGGGGAAAGCAGCCAGCTGAGAACTGGGGTGGGACCAGGATGATGGTGGGACAAGGGACTCCATCAGACACATCCTAGCTGTGGTTGCTCCCCAGGTTTCCTTTACAAGCTTAAAAGTCCATTCCATTTGAACTGTTGCACTTCTAATAGCTTCTCCATTTCTTCACATTACACTGCTGAAGGGGAAACACCTTTGTCTGGCCAGGAAACCACAAATCTCTTTTATCTGTTTCACTTTGCACTTGATGTTTTATACTCTCTAGCGGCAGGGTTAGAGGCACTAGGGTGTATGCAGCCCTCTAAGGCATCATGTACTGCACATCATATTCACCGTGGAAAGGGGTATTAAAATCTCAGGTTGTACTCCAGATCCAGTGTATCAGTCTCTGAGAACACACTCATGCATACACACATACACATACAGGAAATCCCTCCAAGTGACTCAGATATGCACCGTTATGTTGAGTGCATTGCTTAAAAATGTTTAACTTTAAATTCTTTGGGGGAATGTCTTCAGTGGAAAACTAACACATACGTAATTTTCCTTATATCAGATTGAGTCACACAATTGCTTTGGTCCTGCCTAGGCCCTTGTGAATAAAATTAAACATAACTCATTCTAAAGGCTTTATCTTTGCCTCAATCTCCTTTAGGTACCATTGGACTCATGGTGATGGAAAACCAAGGGACAGAAGAAGGTGGTGGTGTGCAGCTAAAATGGAGCTGCTGACTCCAGTGTGTAGTACACTGGATGTTTTGCAGAGTTCCAGAATATTGTTCTGAACAATTGTTGTTTGTTCAGCCACCAAGTCATGTCTGACTCTTTGCGACCTCATGGACTGCAGCACACCAGGCTTCCCTGTTCTTCACTATCTTTCTGAGTTTGTTTAAACTCATATCCATTGAGTCAGTGATACCATCCAACCATGTCATCCTCTGTTGTCCCCTTCTCTTCCTGCCTTCAATTTTTCCTAGCATCAGGGACTTTTCCAATGAGTCAGCTCTTCACATCAGGTGGCCCAAGCATTGGAGTTTCAGCATCAGTCCTTCCAGTGAATATTCAGGGTTGATTTCCGTTAGGATTAACTGCTTTGCTCTCCTTGATGTCCGAGGGACTCTCAAAAAGAGTCTTTTCCAACACCACAGTTTGAAAGCATCAATTCTTCAGTGCTCAGCCTTCTTTATGATCCAGCTCT